ACCAAGTGCCAGGCTGGAGTGCAGTGATGTGACCTCGGCTCACTGCAACCTCCGCCTCCCAGGTTCAAGCAATTCTCCTGCCTCAGCCTCCCGAGTAGCTGGGACTACAGGTGCACACCACCACACCCAGCTAATTTATTGTATTTTTAGTAGAGATGGGGTTTCACCATGTTGGCCAGGATGGTCTCAATCTCTTGACCTCGTGATCCGCTTGCCTCGGCCTCCCAAAGTGCTGGGATTACAGGCGTAAGCCACCGCGCCGGGCCAATGCTTTATGTCACTTTGGGTGAATCACAAATTTTCTTTTTCACTTTTCTCTTTGAAATTATTAAATACAGGGCCGGGCGTGGTGGCTCACGCCTGTAATCCCAGCACTTTGGGAGGCCGAGGCGGGTGGATCACAAGGTCAAGAGATCGAGACCATCCTGGTCAACATGGTGAAACCACGTCTCTATTAAAAATACAAAAAATCAGCTGGGCATGGTGGCACGTGCCTGTAATCCCAGCTACTCAGGAGGCTGAGGCAGGAGAATTGCCTGAACCCAGGAGGCGGAGGTTGCGGTGAGCCGAGATCGCGCCATTGCACTCCAGCCTGGGTAACGAGAGCGAAACTCCATCTCAAAAAAAAAAAAAAAAAAGGAAATTATTAAATACTTATTAAATGATTATCATCACATATGCCAGGTGGTAAGTTGACAAACTGGTTGACATTATGTTTGTCATTTTGAGGTATAAATTTCATATAAATAGTCTGGTGGGAAAAGATATTAGTTGGGAACTATTTTTTAAAAACTAATTTGTAAGTTACCTTGTTTCATTAAAGATGAACTCTTTTCCTCTCTTCTCACCCCTCCCCTTTCTCCCTCTCTTCCTCTTCCTCTGTCCTAGGCACCTTCCCCCCAAAAAGTCTGGAGCCAGATTCCTTTTCTGTCCTTGTTGGCGTTAAGATAAAGCTCTGAGTAGCCTTGCCAGAAGGGCTGAAGCTTACCCAAAGGCCGGTCCTCTTTCTCTTTCCCCTCTATCCTGCCTCCTTTCCCACACATAACCTCACATTAAGCAGAAAATAATTTCTGTGCTAGGGCCAGAGACAGAGCTTCAGTTTGGCTCGGCTGCCTTACAGTTTCAATTTGATGAAAGCCGATTACACATTTCCTCTGGTCTGTTATTTCAGCTGAAGCACCACACAGTTGGCTGAATGGGTCCTTGTTGCACACAAAAGGGAGAAATATTTGTAGGGAAACTAATGACCTGGTTATGGCTGTACCGTCATTTCTAGGCAATTTCCTGGTAAATGGCCCTTTGGAACAGTCTGGTGCTGGAAGCTTCTGTGCCCTCATTTCTGCTTCGTAGCTCCGTTGGGCTCCTGCAGGGCCCAGTCTGCCCTGAACAAAGTGATCGGGTGACCCCTTTCTTGGGAGGAGTTTATACATTTCCCACACCCTCTTCTTTCTGCCATTTGCCTTTTTCTTGTCCTCCTTTTATTCCTAAAAATACTCATTGAATGCCTGTTAACATTACAGCGATAACTAACACAAGTTCTGGACCTCGGCCCTCGGTCTTGAATGGAGGAAGACTTGTGTAACTCACGGCCCCAGGCACTCCTGCCTTCTGCAGCCATGCTTGCCAAAGAAAATAACTCAAATCCCTATCTACACCATCGTCGGGACTCCAGATGTCAGGGGCAGAAGTCCTTATCCAAAATGGCAAAAGGATTTTTATTAGCTCCTACAAAAGAAAAGTACAGGAGTAGTCTGATTTCAGACGAGACTAGATCAGTTTTTTCCAAAATGTTACCAGGACCACCAGGTTCCTTTCCCTTTCCCCTCTCCTTCCGCCTTCCCCTCCCCTCCCCTTCTCCTCTACTTTCCCTTTCCTTCACTTCCTTTCCTTTAGATAGGGTCTTGCTCTGCATTTGGAGTGCAGTGGTGCAATCATAGCTCACTGCAGGCTTCAACTCCTGGGCTCAAGCAATCCTCCTGACTTAGCCTCCCAGGTACTGAGCCATGATGCCTGGCTGACTTTTTGAATTTTCTGTAGAGATGGGGTTTCACTATGTTGCCCAGCTGGTCTCCAACTCCAGGCCTGAAGTGCATCTTCCACCTTCACCTCCCAACGTGCTGGGATCACAGGGGCAAGGCATTGTGCCCAGGCAGGGCCAGCTTTCTAGTTCCGTGTCTCTCTACTCTACTTCGTCTGTGTTGGTTCTGTTTTAGACATGCTTTCTTCCTCCGTTGGCAATAAGCACAGTAGCTCAGACTTCATATCTTGCCATGTTCAATAGGAAAGATTACCTGCTCTTTTCAGAAAGGGGAGAAAACTCCCACTGTCTCCTTGGCTCTGCTTGGACCATGTGTTCATCCTTGAACCAGTTATTGTGACCAAGGGATAGGCTACTTTTATTGACTAGATCTGGGTCATGAGTGGCAGAGGCTCATGTGCCTGGAGACATGGATGAAGAGTAGGGAAAAGTTATAGCCTCAAATAATGTTTCTCTCTCTCTCTCTCTTTCTCTTTCTCCAGAAAAAGTGGGGATGGGTGTTTGGGAAGAATATAGTATCTACTACATATTTAAGAGTGTGTTTCACATTTGCTGTCATTCACAGGTCAGCTCGAGCTGTCGTCTGTCCAGCTCTGGCTAAGCCTGGAGCTTTTATGGGCCTCGGAGCGGAGGAAGTGCATGCCAGTTGGTCCATAGGAAGCCCAGAAAACGCATCTCAAGTTCCTACTCGGATCAGAGGGACTGACAGCCAGGAAGCTAGCCTTCAGGTCCTCCCTGGCCTCAAGGTAGGGCCTCACCAGGGACCTGCCCCCTTCCACCCAGGAGCCTGTCTGCCTCCTGTCGCCATCCATAGTGCCCAGGCTGCTCCCACCAAGGGACACCTGCGGGCCAGCTCCAACCTGCCCTCTGCCCCATTTTAGCTCCCCCACCCCCCCCGCCCACCTCCCACAATCTGCCCCAACCCTGCTCCTCGATCAGAGCGGGCAACAGAATTGGGGAGAGGCCAGTGAGTGGGAGCAGACACCCTCAAGCCTGTGGAGGAAGCAGGGGCCTTCTTGGGCCCGAGGTGCAGAGTACTTCCTGTGCCTGGGAGGGCGGGGCTCTCACCCAATCCATGGAGCATGCAGGCAGCCCTGGTGGCACCTCCTTGCAGTCTGGGGTGGGGTGTCCAGATCCTCACTGGGCCCCTCTCTGCCCACCCCTCTGTGCCCAACCACCCTCCTCCCCTGCCAACGGGCCTCATTATGGCGGCCCCCACACAGTGGAATCTGGGGAGGCTCCTGCTTGTCCCTGGCTCCTGCTGACTCCCTTGGAGCACAGCACTGCCCCAGGCCCAGCTATCCCTCCTCTCCACACCCTCCCCGCAGGGGCACCAGGCAACAGCCACGGTGCAGTGCCAGGGTCCAGAGTGGCAGAGGCTCCAGGCCTGGGAGTGGGTCCCACCTGGCCTTGCAAGGGTGGAGGCGGTGGAGTCAGCTGTCTCTAGACATGGGGCATAGGGACCCTCCACTGGCATCGCTGCTCCCACAGCCACTTCTGCCGCCACCACTTGCACCTCCCTGCTGCAGCCGGTGTGGTGGCAGTAACTGTTCCGGGTGGCCCACCACTGCCCTCAATATCACCCATAAAAAAGTTTGCTTTTAATGTATATCAGACAAATGCACAAACATTTGATCATAAATTTACATGATTTATGTCATGCAAAGTTCTATTCCAGCCCAGTTTTAGAACAATTTTTCTTTTAAAACAGAAAATTTAAAATTTAGTATCAGTTAATACTGTTTCTAGAAAGCCATGGACCATCTCATTTCAAAGAATTTCATTTGACTTCATCGGCCCTGTCTCTTTATTAATTTCTAGAGCTGCTTCTCTCCAGGCCCTGCCTCCCATCTTCTCTTCCAGAGATTATCCCCTTCTTAAAGCAGCATTCAGTCAACAAAAATATGTTGAGTACCTGTGTGCTAGGCGCTAGGGTGACAGTGATAAGCATGATGGTTGTATTTGTCCATTTTGCATTGCTATAAAGGAATACCCGTGACTGGGTAATTTACGAAGAAAAGAGGTTTATTTGACTCACGGTTCTGCAAACCATACAAGCATGGCACTTTCATCTGCTCGGGTTCTGGTGAGGCCTCAGGAAGCTTTTGCTAATGGTAAAAGGCAAAGTGGGAGCAGGCATGTAAGATGGCGAGAGAGGGAGCAAGAGAGAAGAGCAGGAGACCCAGGCTCTTTTTAACAATCAGATCTCATGGTAACTAATAGAAGGAAACTTCAGTTATTACTGCGGGGAGGGCACCAAGCCATTCATGAGGCATCCATCCTCGTGACTCAGATACCTCCCATTAGGCTCAGTGGCCCACCTCCAACAGCGGAGATCACATTTCAACATGAGATTTGGAGGGGACAAACATCCAAACTTTATTAATGGCTATGGTTCCTTCTTCCAAATTCCTGTAACTTTGTCATGCAGAGCAGTTAATTTCTTATTGCCCAAACCTTTCTTATCTCAGCTCTCTTCAGGGGTCCTCACTTTTTATAGCCAGATAAGCCCAAGAAGTCACTTTCTTCAGCAAAGGAATTGATTTGTATTGTCCTTGGAGGTCAGCTGGCTCAAACTAAGGCTGGCTTCTGTGATAATATTTTTATTTATTTTCCTGTTGTACAGGCAAACAGATAATGAGAATATTGTAGGTGAAGTGTCATACTATTAATAGAAGTCTTGACTAGGTATAGCCTTCGGTGGAGCAAGAGGGGAGAGATGGTTCTTCAAGGAAGAACTTCTTGACAGCTGTATAATACAGCCAAGGGGGAGTCACTTTAGAGCCAGACCTACCAGCTGTGTGATCTGGGCATGTGGCTCAAGTACTTGGAGTTTCAAATCCCTTATCCATAACATGGAGGAAATAAGAACATATTTCACAGGGTTGTAGTAAAGATTAAATGAGATGCCAAGCCATTTTTAACAAGAGCTCTTTTTTTTTTTTTTTTTTTTTTTTTTATGAGCCCTGCCTAAGCGGGACATCAATTCAGTTATAAACTCATAATTGTTTCTCTCCATGGAAATCTTTAGTAAAAGGCAAAATATGTGTTTGTTATGAAGAGAAACCAGAGCATAACAAGAGCTCTTTTTAACAATCAGATCTCATGGTAACTAATAGAATGAAACTTCAGTCATTACTGTGGGGAGGGCATCAAGCCATTCATGAGGCATCCATCCTCATGACTCATATACCTCCCATTAGGGCCACCTCTAACAGTGGAGATCACCTTTTTCTCTCTACCACCAATCTACCACCGAGTCCTTCAGTTTTACCTCTTACATTTCACAAATCCCTCTATGTCTATTTCTACCATCACCATCTTGTTTGTCCATTATCTTGTCTCTACCCATGACAATAGCACTGGCAATCTAATTAGTCTTCCCACATTCCTTCTAGGCCCCTCCAGCTCATTCTCCATACAGCAGTCTGAGAAGATTTTGAGAAAACACAATCTGATCACGTCATAGCCCTTCCCTTCCAATTACAGCTTCTCAGTGCTCTTAGAATAGCATGATTTACAAAGCCTTGACTGCTGCGTGTCTCTCCAGAATAACCCAGAGCAGACCCGCCCCTTGCTCTCTGTGCCTCAGCTAACTGGTGACAAGGACTCTCTCCTTGACCAAACTTTAGACAGGTTGCTAAGTTATGGAAATAAGCCAGTTATGGAAAGATAAATGCTGCATGATTCCACTTGTATGAGGTACCTAAAACAGTCAAACTCTCCCAGGATGTTGTAGTGAAATAAAATACTCAAACCAAAAAGTGGAATGCCAGGGGCTGATGGGAAGGAGAGACGGGGAGCTAGTAATCAAAGTGCATGCATACAGTTTCGGTTCAGCGAGATAAGCTCTAGAGATCTGCTGTGTGACATCATACCTATAGTCAACAGTAATGTATTGTACACTTAAAAATTTAAAGGGCAGATCTTATTATTATTATTATTTTTTGGGAAACAGCTGTGCCCGGTTTAATAAAAAGGGAAAGGGTCATCAGGTGGCCACATCCTTTCCTTGTCATTCATATCCTCAACCTACAGATCCTTTTTACCCTCATAAGTTTGAATATAGTTAAGGTTAGTTGGGTCAATAACTGATGTTGATTATGATTAAAAGAATATAAAACTCAACACCTCCTTCATTAAAAATAAACGTTGAGGAACTTGATAAGAAAAAACTAAAATATTTTTGTAGCTGCCTGGGAAGATCTTAATCCTTCCATATAGACAGATATCCTTATATCCACAGGAGGCCATGTGGACTACAACCAAACTGAGTCCATTACTCCTTCCCTCTCCGGCTCTTCTTGTGGCTCTTCTTTAGACCTTTCGGGAGACTTTGTGTGGCTCCTGTGTCTGTGACTACGGTGATGATCTGGGGACTCTGCTGCCGGATCTTGGGACCTGCTGGGGTGACATCTTGGCTCCGATGCCTTTCTTGGCATGGGGAGGGGCTTCTCCTTTTGGGAGATCGACTTCGCCTTCCAGGAGACCAGCTTCTACTCCCTCTGTAGTGCAGTGTGGGAGAGCGACTGGGCTTGTCCTAGTCTCGGTAGCTTCTCCGGCGGTGATTAGGTGATGGCACTCTTTCCAACTTCTCATCCTCCTCTTCTTCCTCTTCACTGGACCCCACATCATCCATGTCCTCTTCCAGAGCACTAACTCGAAGCTCCAGGTGCTCAGCTTCCTCTAATACATACATAGCGTTTCTTAACTCCGTGGTTTGTCGACTACAAGTTCAGCCGTAAGTCCAGAGCACTCCTCTTTCCAGTACTTGGACTCATAGATTCGCGTTCCAACGATCTTCGCCAGATTCTGAGGGTTGGTGCCGTGGATGTTGTGCGCATCCTTCACTGTATGGGGGTTAGCCATTTTAGAATGCCTTCGATTCTATTTCCGTCGCGTCTTTTAACGCGTCACATCCGGTTTCAGAAAAACCCACCCAGAGGGATGGAGAAGGTGGAAGAAGTTTCACTACACAGCTTAGGTGACCATCTTGGACGGGTAGATCTTACTTTAAGTGTTCTTACCACGCACACGCAAAAGCAGGATGCTGGATGCCTCTGTTCTGGAACATGACTTCTACTTCACCCTCCCCCACAGTTCTCCCTGACACTCCCTGCTCCCTGTCCCCACCTTGCAACTTCTCCTTTTCCCCTCACAGTCTCACTCCTACATGCAAGTGAAACTACACACTTAAGAGTTGCAAAGACCGGCCGGGCGCGGTGGCTCAAGCCTGTAATCCCAGCACTTTGGGAGGCCGAGGCGGGTGGATCACAAGGTCAAGAGATCGAGACCATCCTGGTCAACATGGTGAAACCCCGTCTCTACTAAAAATACAAAAAATTAGCTGGGCATGGTGGCGCGTGCCTGTAATCCCAGCTACTCAGGAGGCTGAGGCAGGAGAATTGCCTGAACCCAGGAGGCGGAGGTTGCGGTGAGCCGAGATCGCGCCATTGCACTCCGGCCTGGGTAACAAGAAAAAAACCCCGTCTCAAAAAAAAAAAAAAAAAAAAGAGTTGCAAAGACCATCTCGTTGATAAACTGTGTGGCTATGCCTGGGCCCTAACTTGTGCCCGAGGAAGGCTTAAACACTGTTTTCCCTTTCCTTTTCTCTGGGTGGCCATGATGACATCGAGCTTTGTTGCTTGGTCTCCCTCATCTCAGCTCCTTCCAGCTCTTTGTGGTCAGGTTTTTTCTTTGTATTTTCTTTTTAGGAGAGGCACTAACACTGGGTGATGTGGCCAGTTCTTTTCTTTCTTTTCTTTTTTAAAATTTTTTTTCTTTGAGGCTGGAGTGTAATGGTGGAATCACAGTTCACTGCAGCCTTGACCTTCTGGGCTCAAGTGATCTTCCCTTTTCAGCCTCCTGAGTAGCTGGGACCACAGGTGCATGCAACCATGCCCAGCTAATTAACATTTTGTTTTCTACAGACGGGATCTCCCTACATTGCCCAGGCTGATCTTGAACTCGGATCCTTCTGCCTTGCTTTGCCTCCCAAAGTGCTGGGATTATAGGCATGAGCCACCATGCCTGGTCTAGCAAATTCTTTCACTTGCCTCTCTACATACTCCCCTGGGTAAGCCACCTAACCAGCTGGCTTAGTTACCATCTCTACATGGGTGATTCCCAAATTTATGTCTCTTGCCCAGGTCTTTCTCCTGAGCTCTAGACCCTTCTTCCCTCTCACCCACCACATCCTGCCCATCATTAAGTCCTGCCAGTTCTACCTCCTTGATCCACCAAGTCTTTCTGCATCTCTAGTCACCACCTTAGTTCAAGCCTGCTTCCTCCCTCTGATGGATCCTGGCAACAGCCTTCTGTCTGAGTTTCCTGTGTTTGCTCTGGCCCTTGCCTCTTCAAACCATTTCTGCATGGCAGCACTAATGATTTTTGTGTAGTGCAAATTTGATCAGGTCACTTGTCTGCTTAAGTTCCTAGTAAATCATGTGCTTCCCATTTACTTCAGCACAAAGTGCAAATGTGAGCATGTCAGTCACATCCCTTCTTGATCTGGCCTTTGTATATATTTTAGGCTCCAACTTTTGCTACTTCCCTGAACCCAGGCAACACTAACCCTACCGAACTACACGAATTACCTTACTTCATTATGATTTCTTTGGCCTTGGGACCATTTGATTTGCTTTTCTACGTGAACCACCTTTTCCTGGTCCAGATAAAATACTCTTTCTTGAGTCGTCTCCTCAGATGTCACTTCCTCCAGGAAGCTTTCCATGATCTCTTAATGCCTGATTAGATTCCACCCCCACCTCTATCCTGATTGTTCTCAATGCACCCTGTATCTGTACTCTTTGTCCTTTTAGTCATATCTGTGTCTCCCTCAGATTGAAAGTTCCCTCGCGGCACATCCTCTGCCTGTTTCATGACTGTCTTCCTAGTTTGTAGCATGGTGCCTGACACATAGTAGGCATTAATAATACTTATTAAATGAAAGAACAGTGATTTCCTAAAGCTTTGTCATAGCTTACCACAGTGGTTAAGGACAAGGACATTGAAGCCAGTTGCCTCTATTTCTGGCTTCAATATCCTTGTCCTTAACTACTGTGGTAAGCTATCACAAAGCTTTAGGAAATCATCTTGGCTCAGATTCCGACTATATGTGTACCCTTGGGCAAGCTCCTCAACCTCTCCATGCTTTGGTTTGATTGCTTTGAAACCGTTTCTTATCTCATGAGTTTGGTTGGAGGATCAAATAGATTAATGTTTATATGCCTGGCATAAAGTAAGTGCCATATAAATAGAGGATAACTTATTCTACTTTACGACCAAACATGATACTTTTGAGAGTGAAACAGATGCAATTAGTAGTTATGCCAGGAAAATAGATGTTAATTGGGACCGTCTTGGGCAAACAGGGATATTTGGTCCCCTGGAATATAAGAGCTCTTAGGTTAAATAAACATCTTCATTTTTGTTGCGTTTGTTCTTCTGTGTCTATTTTCCTCTAGTGATTAGTAGTTAATTCTTCCAACCATAAAGCTTGTATGTTTGTTTTTAGAGACAGCAGAGGAAAGGACTGGGGAGACAGTGTCCCAAGGTTCAGAGATGGTAGGATAACATTAAAGAAATGGAAATGAAGTTGAATTTTTAGGCTCTGAGCACAGAAGAAAAGAGGAGCCTTTACACCCCACTGAAGCTGAGTAGGCTATGGGTTTGACAATAGAAGGTCACGTGGTTTCCTGACGGGTAGTATGATTCCAAGGGGTCCAGCCTTTCCTGGAGCCTTGCCTGGGAAGATCTGTGAGCAAGGCAAGCTGTGCCAATGTACTTGACATGTTGTTGCTCTCTGGTCACTGAGTTTGCTGTTTTCTTTCAAACTGTTTCAGAAACATGTAGTTCCATTTGTTTCCCCAACAGGGAATGTTTTTTCATTACTTTAAAATAGTTGTTTTTCTGAACTGGGATAAACACCTAGTGTGCAGAAGTTCTGTTGCATGGTCATTCCAATTTGAATTCTATTATTTCTCCTGCTTACCTGGGTAGGAGAAAAATATGCCTTCTAAACACGGTTATCCTTTTGCTGGTTTCCCAGACAGGTGCACTATCAGATAACGTAC